CAGAATGATACAGCTACTTTGGAAGATATTTGTCAATTTCCTACAAAAGTAAACATACTCTTACCATATAAGCTAGTGATCATGCTTACTGGTATTTAAACAAAGGAGTTGGAAACTTACATCCACAGAAAAATCTGAACATGGATGTTTATAGCAGCTGTATTCATAATTGTCAAAACTTGAAGCAATCAAGATGCCCTTCAGTAAGTGAATAGGTAAATAAATTGTGGTACAGCCAAACAGTGGATTGTTATTCAACACTAAAAAGAAATGAGTTATCAAGCCATGAAAAAACATGAAGGAAACTTAAATGCATGCTACTAAGTGAAAGAAGCCAGTCTGGAAATACTATATATTGTATGATTCCAACTATATGATGTTCTGGAAAAGGGAAAACTATGGAGACGGTAAAAAGAGCAGTGGTTGCCAGGATTTAAGGGGAAGGAAAGATGAACAGTTGGAACACTGAGGATTTTTTAGGGTAGCAAAATTACTCTGTATGATACTATAATGGTGAATATGTTATTATGCATTTGTCCAAACCAGTAGACCGTACAACACCAAGAGTGAACTGTAATGTAAACTATGGCTTTCGGGTGATGATGGTGTCATTGTAAGTTCATCAGTTTTAACAAATGTACCACTTTGATGGGGGGATGTTAATAATGGAGGAGGCCATGTATAAGTGGGGGCAGGATGGGAAATCTCTGTAGCTTCTACTTAGTTTTCCTGCAAACCTAAAATTGCTCTAAAAAGTAAAATCTATTTAAAATTCAAAAACTTTTGGGCCTCAACAGACATTATAAAAAAAGTGAAGATATAATCCACAAAATGGAAGAAAATGTGTAAATAATACATTTGACTAGAAACTTGTGTTCAGAATATATAAAGAACTTTTACAAATGAACAACAAAACCAGCACATATAGTCCAATTTAAAAATGGGCCAATGATTTGAGTAGATATTATCCATAGGAGATATACAAATGGCCAATAAGCACATTAAAAGGTGCTCCATATCATTACTCATTAGAGAAAAGATAAAACCACAGTGCCATACCACTTCACACCCACTAGGATTGCTAAAACAAGGTAGACAATAACAAATGTTGCCAAGGATGTGGAGAAATTGACAGTTACATGCATTGCTGGTGGGAATGTAAAATTTTGTAGCCACTTTGAAAAACGGTTTGGCAGTTCCTCAAAATAGGATACATAGAGTTACCATTGTGACCCTTGATTGACAGTATAGAGGCTGTATCTCTTAAGGGAGATTTTATGTTTGGTTCTTTTAGGTGTTTTAGAGGAGTATTACAAGTTAGGAACTACTTTTTATGTTGATATCTCAAATTTCTGGACCATGATACAGGCCTGTATTTCCATATTCTCCAACAGTAGAGCTGGTATTTTTTTTTTTTAATTTAAATTCAATTAATTAACATAGAGTGTATTATTAGTTTCAGAGGTAGAGTTCAGTGATTCATCAGTCTTATATAATACCCAGTGCTTATTACATCACGTGCCCTCTAGAGCTGGTATTTTTTAAATTTCTTTTTTATTTTTTTAAGATTTATTTATTTGAGAGAGAGAGAACGTGAGCATGTGGGGGGACTGGCAGAGGGAGAGAATCCTTTAAGCAGACTCCCTGCTGAGTACAGAGCTCAATGCAGGGCTTGATCCCTGAACCAAAACTAAGAGTTGGTCGCTCAACCTACTGAGCCACCCAGGTGCCCCTATTTTTTTTTTTTAAAGATTTATTTGAGAGGGAGAGAAAGGGGGAGAAGCAAAGAGGGAAAGAGAATCTCAAGCAGACTCCCCGCTGAGCATGGAGCCCACTGCAGGGCTGGATCCCAAGACCCTGACCTGAGCTGAAATCAAGAGTCGGTCACTTAACTGACTGAGCCACCCAGGCGCCTCTGTTTTTTGTTTTTTAAACCTGAGGTATAGACTGGGATTGAAAATAGATAATATATGATTAAGAGTTGGAGATTTGGTATTTTTTTAGCTTCCTCTTTCTCTGAAAAACTTTTTTTTTTTTTTTTTAAAGAAAGGCAGACTGCCACATGCAGAGCCTCATTTGGTTGTGTCTGGAGTCTTGGAAGCTTGACTACCCTATGTTCTCCTACAAATGGACCTTGAGAGTTTGTTTGGAGGTTCTAACAGGGGAGTGCAGCTATTTGTATACCTTTGACCCAAGAGTGGTTCTTCTCAATCGGGGAAGGTCGTTCTCTTTGACCCAGTCTCAGCTTGGGGAGTAATGCACATGGAGCAGTGAGGGAGGACAGGGACACTCGCCTAGTGAGCCAGATCTGCTGAATCAACCCTGGCAGTCATTGAGGTGACAGATGTTGTAGCAAGATCGCCGTCACAGGGCGCCTGAGTGGCTTAGTCTGTTGGGCATCTGCCTTCGGCTCAGGTCATGATCCCAGAGTCCTGGGATTGACTCCCGCATTGGGTTCCCTGCTCATTGGGGAGTCTGCTTCTCCCTCTGCCCCTTCCCCCTGCTCACACATGCTGTCTCTCAAATAAAGGAATAAGATCTTTTTTTTTAAAAAAAAGATCGCCCTCACATCCTCTTTCTCGGAAATTTTTGAAAATTTCTGATTATAGGGGAACTCCATTATAACTACCTACATTTAGGCCCAAAGCCATGTGTTCTGTCCTTATTTGGCCTTATTAAAACACAGCCTAGCTTTTGGTGAATAATGGATGTTTTCAATGCAGTAAAAAGCTCAGAGATGGCTCACCACTCGGGTTTTCAGTTTCCTCTTTATTTTTGGCCCCCAGAGATTTTGCTTACTTTTTTTGGATCATACATTCATTTAAAAGAATTTAAAAAATGATCCATATTTCTAGGTGTTTTATAGTGGCGGGTTTTCTTAGGAAATGTAAGTAAGCCACTATCCTGATAGAGAAGGAAGTTAAGTTAGCATTCTGTATGAGATGCCACATCACCAGGGGATATCTATGATAGTCCATCAATGGATATCTGGTAAATACTATCTAATAGGTCTAAATCTTCACTACAGTATTATTTTGGCCCTGTTTATCTAGATTTCTAATTTTAACATAAAGTTGAATGGATTATATAATCCTGGGTTTGAAAAAGAAAAGTTAAAAATGGGTAAGACATAGCATGAGATGAGAACTATGTACATTTTACTGAAAAGTTATATTAAATAAAATTATGTACACTGTATTATCCTATATGGGTACCATATTATGTACTAGATATTATATATCTAATATGTATATTATGATAACACACACAGTAATGCTGGTTTAATATGCCAGTTTCTCCTCATCCAGGAACTGGTGAAAACACTTCACCAAATATAAGTAAGTGAATAGTCTTTGTTCAAACTCAGCTAGGGGCTCCCCTTCTTCCATTGTCCTAAGTTTTCCCCTTCATTTATCCTTTAGGCCCTTCTGTGCTGTGAGATTCCTTCTTATACCAGGGACCCGAAGGCACCAGAAAATACACAGATCTTTTTTGTACTTGTTCAAAGTTCTCTATAAAATGCTTTTTATCCATTGTACTCTGCACTGTGCTCTGTACAATCTGGTGTTGATTACTTGATAATCTAGGAATACATTCCTTCTATATTTGCTTATCTCTGAAGCTTTTTTGTCTTTTTCAAATCTTTGCGAGGTGTGATCTCTGTCCAACTGTCTCTCACCTTGTTGGTAGGAGGGGTATCTGAAACACCTTATCTTTGACAGGTGGAGACACTCCTTGACCAGGGTCTGACCTAAAATTACATTTTCTTTCTGGCACAATGAGGGACATACAGGCCCTTCTTTTATAGAACAAGTTAACATTCTCCTTATTTGCAGAGGCTCAGAGGAGTGCTGGATAACCCATTTTATTATCCTCACTCAGCGGGCAACACAAGCTCTCAGCCTGTAGGTTCTGATGACTCATTCAGGTCCCAGGAGCCCGGTTATTCACCCAAGAGGGAATTGATATGTTTTCTGTTGTTAATGTTTGAGAAAATCAATGCTCTGTAGCATATATACCTACCTTAAAAAGCACAGTGAACTGAATATCTTTGCTACTAGGTTTGACCACAGGAGAAGTAAGTATTAGTCCTGGTATGACTTTAAGCAACAATGTTTCTCCTGTAATAGAGGGAGGACGGCAGTGGAATTTACATTTCAACCAAAAGCAAAAAGAGCAGTATTTAGTCTCAGCTAACAGACTTTTCTGAAGCCCTATTGTAACTTAAGCACACTGGTGGCAGCTTTTTACTCATAAAAATACTTGTTACAGAGCACATACCACCAAATGAACCAAATGTACAAAATGGGGTTTTCTGTTTAAATAAATAAGCACGATTTGACATCTGGTGAAAATATCTCCTCAGCACCCTTTGTTCTCTTTAGCTTACATTGACGAGGTTTTAAAGTTGAGAAACTGCCCTGTTAGGAAAGGAAGCACATGAAGAAACATGACTATTAGTTTTCCTTCACTGCGAATGCCTGAAAATTTCACATCTAGAGTCTGTAGTTATTATGGGGTTTGGCGTGTGGGTGGCTGAAAATATGGTACTTGGCCTTTTGGTGCCAAACTTTCACGTAGCTTCAGCTGTCTGTATACAAAAGACATGGCAGAACGTGTTGCTTTACTTTTAATATTCGGAATTGTTCGCCTTGCCAGTGGAATAGTGAATATGTGGATGGTACTGTTGATCTTGGAGCCTGCCAGTCTCATAGAATCTTAATTGATGAAGATGCTGTTAGGAACCGAGTGAGCATGTGGGTGGGGGGTGGCTTAGGGAAAGTCTGCACATTAGAAAACGCTGCCCTGGACGCCATTTCCTCTTGTATCCCCTCTTTACCCTCCACATACCCAACTTTCTGTGTTTCCCGTTTCCTGCCTCAAATTAATGTCTTGGATTTACTCTGGCCCCTAATCCTAATGTAGGTAGAAAGTATATGACAGAGTTCAAAGATACTAAATGGCCATTCTTTGGTTGATATTTCTTTATATTTTCTTAGGTTCTGGGAAATGAAAATAAATGATCTGGAAGCCTCAGCTACTGGACAACTTTCTCTGGAAGTTGGAGATCGTAAAGGCCTTGCACCTGAAGTGAGCTGTGAGTCATGAGCCGTGATCCACAGTGGCTGTTTTTCTTTCTGTCTGCATGTCTGTCTTCCTTGCTTAGCTTTCTCTTTCCTTTCCTCATGATTTTCTTCCAGCTCTGTTCCCTTTCTCTGTATTTCTGTCTTGTTAAATGGAGAGCTATGAAAGCCTTATGTCCCAGGGAAATTGTGAAGAATAATGGAGTGGCTAAGTTGTGTTATCTAGGGAAGCTGTGAAAATCACATCTCGGGAGAGTTTAAAAAAACAGTGTCAATATGAGATGAACCTCTGCAAGGTTCTGTCTTAAAGAGGCTGGAGCTTGGGATATAACCACTAGAGCTCAGGCTGCAACACACAGCCCATTTCTCACATCAGAGGTGAATTCCACGTATGGATTCCAGTCTAGGAAAGACTAAGGGACACTGTGTCTTCTTTATTCTTGGTCACATCCATAAACCTTCCTTTTCCTCCAAGAAGCCTGTCCTTCCTGTGTTTGCAGGCTTTTTTTCTGGAGTGGGATTGATATACGATCATTAAGAAGGAATACTTAGTACTGTGAAAACAAGGGCTTCGTATAGTTTCCATCATTGTTTGTGCAGCAAATATTTATTGACTCTCTCCGTGGACTTGCCTATCAAGCACTGGCGATGTAAAGAAAAGTAAGATGGATTTCTTTCCCCTGAGATGCTTACTGTCTGGGGGAGGTAAGACCAACTACATAATTTGCGACTTTGCAGGATTTGTGGGGTCCAAAATGAAAACTTGGAGCTCTTTGCTGAGAAGTTATTAAGAAATTCACTATTTGACAGTAGAGCATTAAGCCAAGCACCCTTCTGAGCATGGGGCTCTGCAAGCCTGCAGGTAGAATGCCATGAGGCTGGCTGGGAGTGGGGGAGAGAAATGATGCATATTGATACCGTGCTGGGTGAAAGGGCCCAGGGGAGCTCTGTACAAAGTCTTCTGGTGGCACTGGGGAGGGAGGGGTCTCCCCAACTCAAGGAGGAGTGAGACTTCCTAGACTTCCCTCTCAGAGGTTTCCCTTCTTATCTCAGTGTCACTAATGGACTTCAGAAATAATGTATTTCTCACTCTTTCTCTGGGACACAATCACCAACAGCTTTGTCTTGCCAGACTGAGCGTACTTTAATATGGAAATCCTTCCTTGTTCTGCCAAAAAAAAAATTTAAGTCATCGTACTATAAAAACTAACACACAACAATAAAATAATATTTTAAAAGAGTCAGTGAAGAAAATAAAGCAAAGATAACGTAAGCGTAGGAAGAATAAATAAAGGCAGTAATGAGATAAGTATGCATTCTATGGGATGCTTTACATTTGCTAGAGATTGGCTACAAAGTTAATTTTTTTAAAAACTGTGGTAAAATAAACATACCATAAAATTTACCATTTTACCTATTTTAAAGTGTGTAGTTCAGTGACACTAGGACATTCACATTGTTCTGCAACCATCGCCTCCATCCATGTCCAGAACTTTTTCATCATCCCAAACTGAAACTACCTATTAAACAATAACTTCTCGTTTCTCTCTCTCCAGCCCCTGATAATTACCATTTTACTTCTCTCTATGAATCTGAGTGCTTTAGATATCTTATGGAAGTGAAATCATATAGTACTTGTGCCCTTCTGTGACTGGCTTCACTTAGCATATGTAGTCAAGGTTCATCCATGTTGTAGCCTGTGTGAGAATTTCACTACTTTTCAAAGCTGAATAATATTCTATTGTATGTATATGCCACCCTTTGTTTATTCATTCATCCATCAGTGGACACTTAGGTTACTTCCACCTCTTGGCTGTTGTGAATAATACTGCTGTCAACATGGGTGAACAAATACCTGTTTGAATCCTTGCTCTCAATTCTTTTGGATGTTTACCCAGAGTGGAGTTGCTGGATCATATGGTAGTTCTATGTTTAATATTTTGGGGAATAACAAATTTAGTGTTGAGGTTTCTAGCCATCTTCTCAAGAAAGGAAGCATAATAAATTATATGATTCCCAGTGCTCTCAAGGTAAACAGGGACCAGTTAGTTGTTTGTGAGACTAGAAAAAACTTTCTCCCATGGGTACTTATGAAGAAGGTGCTCTGTGTTTCGATGAGCGACAGGATCCATAGTCGCCTCAGAGTAAAGATAACAGTGTGTTTCCGGGGGCTGTTCAGTGCAGACGATGGCACAGGGCCAGAGCACAGGTCGGTGATGCAGACCATGCGGTCAGGCTTGGAGTGGGGCTGGATCCTCTTCGGATGGCAATTCAGAAGAAGAAAATGGTCAGCAGGGGAGAGAGAAATTAAGAAACGCATCTAAGGGAAAAGGGAATTTTCTTTAAGAAAACGTTCTGAGCACATTGCAATTTAGAAAGGAGCATTTTTTTCCCCCCAGGATAAACTGTTCTTTATTTCCCTCTGTGGCAAACCGTTTTGCTGATTAACCACTGCTTTCATAAACTGTAAGTGGGCCATTCAAGCTGCCTCACCGCCGCTTAATGTCCTGTACTGAGCTTGCTCTTCCCGCATTCCCCACCTAGTGTTTTGCTTTTATTAGAAATTCACCTCGCCTTGTCTACTGAGGGGAAGGAAAAGGGAAGTCACACCCCAGAGCTCGGCGAGCCCATAAAATGGCAGAGCTTCCTGGAGAAGGCTGCCCTGAACCCCAAGGCCCTGGCTGCCGGCGCTGTAATGAAATGCATGACTACGGAAGACAATAATAATTGCAGCAACGGCTCGTTCCAGCTCCCGGATGATTTGGTGCTGTCAGGAGTGCGCTGTCCTCTGACATCCCAGGAGGCGAACGGCACCAGTGACTGCAGGCCCTGATTGGGGCAGTGAAATATTGCTGGCAAAAATTAAAAGGTCCCCGTGTCAAAATAATTCATGATATGCATATCTTCCATTCTGATGAAACGGCTGATATCCGGATTAGCAAGATAATAAAACTGATCAGGCTACAGTTAAACAATTTAAGTTGGAGAGCTGTTCATTTTGTAGGTGTCACTTGTCAGATCAAGGGGTCAAAGCAGAATGAAAGGCTCTCCCCGGTAACCTTCCGATGATGTGGATCTGGAATGTTCTTCATGATTTGTCCAAAGTTTTCATCATCGGGCTGCCGACTAGCATTACTGCGGCAGGCTGTGTTCTGACATTCAAATCCTCGGAATGACAGGTTATTAGGAGAGGAGAACAGGCTCTACATACATTAAGCGCCATATCTCTGACCTGTAATGTGAACTGATAGTGATATTGTAATTGAGTGCGTCTGAAAAAAAGGAGGGGGGAGTCTTTATTAAAACATGGGAATAGAAAGGAAAGCATTTATATTTCTGATGATTTGTGGGTTTGTAAAATAAGCTTTTTGGTGATGATTTATTTTCCATTTCTAGAAGGCTGAGTGGTGTGCATAGTGTTTATCTGGTGTAACAGTTATTAAACTAAGATAACACGAATTCTCTCAGCCTCTCTTCACATGCTGAGCAGGCACAGATCAAAAGAGATTTGTTCTATTAAAGGCAGTAGCTTTAAAATGAACAAAATGGGCCCAAGTACAACCCAAGGCCAGGACGACTCCTCAGGATGTTTGCCTTAGAGCTCTGGCTTCATGCGCTGCTCTGCCTGAGGCTGAGCTCTCTCTCCTCCACGAGCCCAGCCAAGGAGGCTGGGCGGCCTCCCTTATTGGTGTCAGCGACTCCATTGTGGGGTGGTGTCATGCACTGGGAAACTAATTTAATGTGCATTAACGGGGTCTTAGGTGATACCTTTCAGCTTTCTCATGAAATACCCTAGTCTTAGGGAGTGAGGCAGGCAAATCACTGAATTCAGTGGTGGCTGTGGGTCCCCAGAAAGAGCCTGACTCTTTGGTGACCATAAAGAGACTCAGTGGGTAGGGGCACCCGGTTGGCTCGGTCGGTTGAGCGTCCCAACTCTTGGTTTCAGCTCAGGTCATGATCTCGGTCAGGGTCATGGGATTGAGCCCCACATCGGGCTCTGTGCTCGGTGGGGAGTGTTCTTGGGATCCTCTCTCTCCCTCTCCCTTTGCCCCTCCCCGCCCCCTAAAATAAATAAATAAATCTTTAAAAAATAAAAAAGAAACTCCGTGTGTGTGTACATGTGTGCATGTATGTGTGTGCACACACGTGTACGTAGGTGCGTGTGTGTGTGTGTGAGAATGTGTACATGTTTGGGATCTTCTACTGATTTCATAGGGTAAGGATTGCCCAGAGAAAGTTCTAATAATATTAGCGCCGTACCAGGCATTGGGAAACGGAGGTTCTGGGTTGAATTTTAGCAATGACGCACTAAGTGACCTTGGGCAAGTTAACCAGCACCTCCATCTGTAAAATGCAGTAATAGTTGTCATGATGCTGTGGTAAGGGAGAAATGACATGATGGGCATGAAAGCCATTATAAACTACGGTACGGACATACAATATTATCGTTAAACTAAGAATAGGACTGACACATGTTTAGCCCCATGCAGGTGTTAGGGGTTATCACATCTACATTTTTTGGATATAATTGTAGGAGCCTTAATGCAGATGCTTCAATATTTGAAGTATATTCTATAAAAATACCCCCCCAATGAAATATGGTAACTTAGAATATTTTGGACACAGTTATCTTCAGTCTCTGTTTAGTTCTCAGTATTACAATAATCACCTATTTTTCACTTTATGAATTTTTTGTGTGTATGTGTGTAAAAGTTTCACTGCAGAAGAGGCATCAAAGCCTTCCCCAAAATCGAAGCTAGTGAATATTGCTCTTCTCGTTTTACAGATGGTGGTATAACAAGGTGTTCAGAAATGCCAGTAGTGAGTCAGCAAGAGAGAGAGTAGAGGCAAGGATGATCCAGGATTTCTGGCTTAAGAAACTGGGTGAATGATGGTGACATTTTTAGCGATAATGAATGCTGGGAGAGGGACAGTTTCTGGGAATAAAAAATAGGAGTTCCGTTTAGGACAGATCAAGTTTGAAATGCCTATGATGTTATGTGTTTTCCTGCTATAAGTTGAAGGATAGTATCCCTGAATGATTACTTTTATATTCACATAGGAGAAATGTTATAAATTAATTAACTTACAAATGTTATAAATGAATTTTAGTTAAGTAGATAAATTACAAAAAATAAATCAAGGAGTTGCTTCAATCCAATAAACACATCGATGTATAAGGCCCTGTGTCTAAAGAATACATAAGCAGCTTCTCCATGTGAGAAAAAAATACAATAGTAGAGAGTAGTGGTCATTGTGGGTGAGGGTAATTGAAGAACGCTTCCTGGAGGAGGTTAGTTTAGAAGGAGACCAAGGAAGATGGGTTGATGGATGGGAAATACAAGGGCATTTCAGAGGAGAAGACATCATCAATAACTACTTCAAATATGCATCTGGATGGAGGCCTATCAAAACATGAATTTCTCATTTAACAAGTAGAGTAAATGGTTAAGTAGAGACAGAAGCAAAATTGAAATAATGGAAGAGCAAGAAGAGCTAGTATTTTAGGAATAGCTGTGTGGAGTGATGTCTGTGTGAATTCATGTATACTGGATACTTTTTCAAGGTCTGTCAGGAACTGTGAGTCAAGGACAGGTGAATGAAGCCATGTTACAAATTCAATGAGCAAACTTAACTCTTACACACATATACAAACTGATCAAATATAAATTACCAATGGATTTCTGGATGGAAAATAATCCCAGGTACTGGGATCTTGGATAGCCAGAGGCCAACTCTCTACACCTGTTTATGATGTGTATGCACGGCTCATGTTTGGCCACCAGGGTGCCTCCCAGTCTGGTGATATAGGAGAGACAGGAGAATTGAGAGTGAAAGTGTTTGGATAAACACTGCTAGTAAATAAAATATTTTGTGCCAGTCCATTTACAAATTTGTCTAAGGCTACTGAGTAGCTGGAAGTAGTTTTGCTATGTCCTAGGCTAATTCACACATTGGGAAGATCTGGCTCAGTCTAAGCTACTTACATCAGTGTAGATATTTTGATTTATTAAGCCAAAGGACTTGTTAGTAGCAGGTATGAGAGGGTCAGTCTGTTACCTTGTTCCCAGTTTAGGGGGCATTTTAGACAGATGTTAATTTAAGGTTAAGGGCTGGCTGGCCTTACATGAGATGTCCAATGAGTATGATTCCACTATACTTGTAATTTGAAAAATAATATATGAGAATTGGTTTTTATATGTTCAGGAAGGGTTGTCAATGTCTATTGTGCAGGACATTGTAAGAGAGAGTGAAAGAAGGGAGGGACATATGACTGATGGTATCACCTAGTCTTGCTGCGGCTGAGATCTTCCATAGGAGGACCCATTCTATTATTGGATATCCAGTTGGTGTTTTTCAAAAGAAGTAGTTAATCTTGTTACCACCTGTAACAGATGAGTTGAGACAGAAATCTTCCTGAAGTGATATACTCCAGTACTTATTTACAGATGATCATAATTCCATAAAAGGTAAAAGCGAAGTTGAAAATAAAATTAAATTTGGTCAACTCTCTGTTTATGTTGGAAGTATACGTAAAAGAAAACTTCAACTTAAATGTCTTGCCAGGACCAGCACAGATAACATTGTCTTATACAGGATCTGTAGTGTTATTTGCATACTTGCATGCTGAAATTATTTTTCATTTTCAATCAGATGTGAAATATTTAATCAGATGTTCATTGTTGATCAGAAACTTTTAGGTTATATTGATAAAATGTTTACAAACTCCCATACCATAGATCTAAAATGTTTCAGGATTTCCCAGTATGGGAAGTCAAAGTGGAGAGCATCCTGGGAAGACCTAATTTAGTTCTAAGGAATTCCCTTAAACCAGACCTTTGGGCTTCTTTTTTCACCTTCCATCTTTTGTTGACACAGTATTCTTGGCCTTTATTTTTAAAATATCTTTACCTTTATTATCATTATTTTATTTAGTCCCATAATAGATAGAAGGGAACACTTCTTTTTTTTTTTTTTTTAAAGATTTTATTTATTTATTTGAGAGAGAGAGACAGAGAGAGAGCATGAGAGGGGGGAGGGTCGGGAGGGTCAGAGGGAGAAGCAGACTCCCTGCCGAGCAGGGAGCCCGATGCGGGACTCGATTCCGGGACTCCAGGATCATGACCTGAGCCGAAGGCAGTCGCTTAACCAACTGAGCCACCCAGGCACCCCTAGAAGGGAACACTTCTAAGTATGTATCCTCCACTTATCAGAAAGAGAGTAACTAGGAGAGAGAGCTGGGGCTGTTTAGGATTGTAGTTCACAACAGTCTGAGGGACGATATGGTCTAACTTAATTTCAAAGGGATCATCTTTATACTTATATTTCTTTATTGAAGAATTTGTAACATTTCAAACAAAATAAATGAGATACCTCTGCTGCCTTCCTAATGGGAGGCATTACAGTTTGGTGGAATGAAGCACGTGCTCTGAACCCAAATCTCTGTACCATAGCTGTGTGATTTTTGGATGGGATACTTACATCTCACGGTGCTTCAATTTCTCCATCTGTGAAATGAGGAACAGTAATAAATGGTAAATCATCTCATAGGGTTAGTGCAAGGGTTAAATTAGTTATTTAATGCACAGCACTGACTAGTGTTGGCTAGTACTATTATTTTTCACCATTTTCCACTGTGAGCTCATTATCCTCACTGGCTCTTGGTGAGATAGGACTTCACTTTTTTCTCTCATTCCTTTGAAATTTAGGGGCCCATGCCAACTATTATTTTTATTGTGTGTTTGGAGCTTTATAATTTAATCCATTATTTAGCAGCACTGCTAAACATCTCCTTAAGGCACTAAAATAGAAGTTTTCCTATTGATCAAACTCTAGGAGGGGTAGGTGAGATGGTGAGGACTGGGAAGGAAGATGGCCCCCAAGGGGAAGAGAAAGCCCGTAGGAGAGCTAGGGGCTGGAAACAAACTTCAAAGGAAGCTACCCTCTTGCTGTGCTCTGCTAGGCATCTGTCCCCACATGCTCAGATCTGGCCGAGTTGCTCACTGGGTCCTTCCTTCTCCAGGAGCAAGTGGACAGTATATGCATGTGATTCTGCGTCTCGCCTACAGGGGGCAACACCGCAGCTCTGGTCATTTGTCTGTATCCTCATGTCCCCTCCTATTTCCTTTCTGAAATACATTGTTTTTACAGCCCATCTAATTTGGCTGTAAGCTCTGCCAGCCTCGTTGTCATTTTAATATATATTATTTCAGTTTTTCACACAATCTGTAATTTATTTTATTGACTTTCTAATAAATAGGGGGGCAAAGCTCTTATTTCCATATGGACTGTGCATTTTGGAGAAGCTTCTCATGGCTCGATACTAGAGCAAATCCACTCTAGCTCATTTTCATCCCTCCCATTTGAGGTTTATGTGTCTCTCCTCTCCTAATTTTTCATTAGAATATAGTAATAGTCTGAGGAAAGGGTGATCTGATAATGTGATATATTTCATTATGTTTTTATGGTAAGGGCAGCGTCTACAGTGGGAGAGCACCACTAAGTTTTCGGCACGGTAATTTATTCCGCAGCATTTAAATGCTGTAATTTTCACACGGAGGCACATGCTGCCACATCTATCTTCCCCTGGACCAGTCTGTCTTGCTCTTTCCTTTTCATCTGTTTTGTTTTTGCATATTTTTTTCATAAATTCGACAGATGGCCTCTTGATGAATCCTTGATAATACTGTCATGTAAAGCAGCTAAGACTAGAAATCATCTCGCAACAATTTTTCATTGCAAAGGGAAAATTGAACAGAGACAAACATCGCTAAGTCCATAACAACAGCCACAAAATATCCACTTCGTGTAAATAAAGAGGACAGGCTTGCCCCCTTGTGCTTCCACACAAATGCTAGCGTCCTTTGAAAGTCCTCTGAATATTTCATGTTGTGTTTCGATCCCCCTTCAAGCCTCAGGTTGGTTGAGGTTTGTGGGTTTTCATATTCTGAACATTCGCACAGCCTCATGTCCTCTCTTCTCCCTGAGCCCCTCCTCCCAGGGCTTGGTAATTGTGGATCAGGTGAAGTTTGCATCCCCTCATTT